TTTCCTTATATATATATATATATAAATGTACAATTATTTCAATTTGTCAAACACGATCGAGGAGCGTAGAAAACAACAAATATCTCTTCCAAATACACAATGTAGCTCCTCCTGAACGGTTTTGCTGAATGATGTACATTCATTATACATTGTAACGATATTACGATTACTAATTATATGTATATGTATATATTATTCTGATGCAGTTAGTCGTTAGTGTTTGTCTTGTTTGTATGTGTGTGTCAGAGCAGAGGAAAAAATTCGGGGAACCTCTCAAGCTAGGACTTCAACACCCGTAACTAAAAGGCGTACTCAGTATTTTCTCGTTGTTGCTCCTTTAGATTCGGTATGGAGGCCCCAATTCCATATTTTATTAAGACTATTCAGAGAGAGAAGGGGTTCGTGACTCAGGATTTTTATGCAAAATCCTCGAAGCACTCTACGCTATATCACATCCTATGTCTGAGCACGTTTTTTTTTTGTCGTTACTATTTCATTAGGGATTAGCTAGTATGTATGTATATATTAATACTAACGGCTAAGAATGAAGCTAGGTGTGGTGAACGTCTTAAGAGGTAGAGAAACAATGTGTGTTTGTGTGTGTGTGTGTGTCGTTTCTCGCGCAATTAATAATTACGATACTTAAAACTTATTCGATTATAATAACGCGAGTTGTCGCCGATTGGAAATTGATCGTTAACAACGATGAAAACGAAGTGTTCGACAACAACTCGATAATTTCACTCCAACAGCATGACATTTTCTTTCTTTTCTATCTTATGCAAATTCTTGGAACGAATTTTTTAACAGAATCGACGAGTGAAACTTTTCGCCCCGAACGTTGATGTACAACGTCGTGCGTCCCGTTTTAATGGACATTCGCCTAATCGAAACTACCTTTGATATCGTTATCATAGGGTTGGTTTTCTGGTAGACTTTCCAGAATATAGACTCACTGGAGGTACAAGTGCATCGATCTAAAGAGAGTGTATTGTGTGTTTTTTCTTTTACGTATATCATATCGGCAAGGAAGATCGTACATCTTCGTGTTTGATTACAAGCACCGTAAACGAAACAGCGTTAATACACTACGTTAGATCTGCAACTTTTTGTATGTTTTTTTTTTCTCGCATATCGTATCGTTTTAGTTTCGTGATTGTTGGGATTTACACAATACCCGTTTTTGTTAACTCTAAGATTGACAGAAGCACATTTATTTCGTTTTCAACAGCTCTAACCAGTTTTTATGAGGTAATAACAATTGTGTACAATACGGAATGTCTCGAAGCAAATTATTACACGTTTTACAAATATACAGAGGTACTCTCTCTTATCCCATAAATACGTGCTATCAAGCACACGCGCGAACATTCGCTCTCTTTCCGTATACGGTTATATTGTATATACATAATACGTATATCTAACGTATATCTATGTTTGAGTATAATAATACATCACTTCGAAGGCATCGATCATCGCTGTTAATCCAATTTCTCGGATCATACAAGAGAGATAAAGAGAGTGAGAGAGAAAGAGAAACAGAGAGCAAGAAAAGGTGGAAGAAACAGAAGAAGAAGTGGATTGTAACGCGTAACAATCGTTATCGAAACACTATCGGAAAACAGTGAGACATTGAATTAGTGGTTCATTCGCAACCCTGAACAGTCTACCAAATCTACGTAGCGCAACTTAAACAAGGGTACCCATAATAATCGTATCGTGGTTAAAGTAGCAAGATATATCGTATATATATATATGTATAGAGAGAGAGAAAAAAAATATATATATATATCAGTCAGCAAGAGTCTATTTACTTGATCTTGAATGCATCCATCAGCTCGTTGACGGCGGCATTTGCAGCGGCCTGCGTCGCAGCTTGAGTCACCCTCTGCTGAAGACCACCCCCACGACTAAACATACACCACGGACACTCAGCTTTGACTATAAATCTCATTTTGTTGTTGCAGTGACTTAACAAATACTAATAATATTACGATACAATTGTAGGATTAATCTAAATCACATGACAATTTAGACTAATAGTTGCATATTTCACTTTAGTTGGAAATATCGTGCATCATCGAATGTCCTAAGAGGTATGTGTAATCTCTCGCATGGTTCTCAATTTTTCAAAAGTGGCAGAGGCGTTTCTATGCCACTGCCACGCAGAAATTCAACACTATTAACGAGTGTGTTCGCAATTACAATTGTCTGCGCGATATACATTCGTTTAAGAAAGAAAAGAGTATTCTCAATGCAGGCACCGACATGTCTCCGTTTCTAATTGGATAATTAACAACGTTCGAATTGATTTTCTTCTTCTCTTTTTCGTATTTGTTCGTGAGTTTATTTTATCGAATCAATTTATGGCAAGAAAGCAATGATGATATTAGAGAAGCCTTTTTTTTTTTTTTTTTCAAATGATTACACGATTTGTCGCGCGTGCTTTCCTTTCCTCATGTCGATTGAAATAGTGCTTTGCGAATATGCTTGGAAATACATTTAAACTTAGCGTGGCTATATTATTGTGATTAAAAATGTCATGCTGTTAGTAGAAGCGAATGAATATACTTATATCCATCACCCGATGATAAGAAACCAAGACCATTTATTTTACAATGTTTCTAGTTTTTTTCTTTCTTTTTCTTTCTTTCTTTCTTTTTTCTTTTTTTTTTTTTTTTTTTTTAAATACAGGCATCATGTACAATTGCATGGAACTAACTTATGATAAAACAAATATCGTTCTACCTAGGTATTTTTTTTCATTCGTCGCGAATGAGCGTGAGAGTTTTATATTTCTACGGTTTTTCTCTTTTTCATCCTTATTCAATACTGGGTTAAATGTATCGTAGACACACAGAATGTTAATTAGAGGTGTGCAAATTATTACTTGGAGATTGTGTTAAGATTTCGTTATGAGAATCACATTGAAAACGAGCACCGTATTACTTAAAGGAAAACAGAGGGAATCTCGCTCTAAAATACGACTGGTGATATCTTAATCGTACTTACGAAATAATGGGGTATACATTATTAGTAACTGAGATATAACGCGTAGTGAAAAATTTCTGGAAGCTCTTTGTAATTGCGGCGAACTAATACAAACATTCATACGATCGCTTACTTTTCCTTTTTTTTCGTATAAATTACACACCTCTAATTAATGATAATAATTCGCAATGTTTGCAGACAAAATACGTAGCATTAGGAAATTGTATCTCGTGTAAAATGTACACTGACTAGATGTAATCGATAAATGCTTATGTATATGTATATATATATACATATATGTACGTGTGTGTGTGTGTGTAGGTGTGTACGTGTGGGTGTATATATTAAATAGTAGCGAATAGGCGATTTAGTGCGAAGACTTATTGTCGGCGCCTGCAATAGAAAGTGAAGTTAGCACCAAAGCCCCACTCACACAAAAGCTATGAAGGACAAGCAACTGCAAATTTCCTTGTTCAAAATATTTTAGTGAAGATTAAATAAAAAAAAAGGACCTTCACTTTGTTGTTAATACACAGGACAACCTTGACACAAACTGACAGAACGTTGTTGTGCAAAACTTTGTGAGAAACTCGACAATCGAAATATACTCGGTATAATAGTACAGAGAGTGTTATTTCAAACTATTTATCGTTTTTTTTTTTTTTTTTAACTGTTCTCTGTACTACTTGACAATGTACACTTTCGTTAAGTTTTATTACATATGCTACATGAACTTGTTGGTACTTACGATGGTATTAGAGGAGGAGGTAGGCCAGGTGTAGCACGGACCGGCGGAGGTCCACCAGGTCCAGGTCGATTAGGAATAGCCGGAGCTGGTCGACCACCCGTCGGAACCGGAGGAGGAGCTCGGGAGCTAGAAAGAGGTGGTGGCTGTGTCACTCCACGTCTTGGTCCACCAGGTGATGGTGGGGATAACCTGTAACAAATTTGGGATATAGGTTTTAGAATGATTATTTGAAAGCTACGTATGAAAACATAGGAAATAAATTGATTAATCGAAGATAAAAAAGCTTGATGTTCTAATTGAAGATATAAAGCATACAGATGAGTATATGTGCAAATGACAAAAACGTAATCTTCCCTTTGCGATTTCAATTACATTTGAAAAAAAGGAAAGAAAAAAATTGTTAATTAGTATAGTAGATGTAGTAGCTCTTACCCAAGACTGTTTCAACGTCGTTCAAGTGTATGAGGCAAAAGCAGGCAGTACAAGATCAAAAGATACCGAATTAGTTAAATGCGTAAGCGGCAATGAAAATAATAACATAATTGTTACCTTGGATTTTCACCAGACGCCAACCAATCATTTTTCACAGGCGGTGGCACTGGAGTGGAGACGGTCGCCATCGAAACATCTCCAATAATACGAAGTGCCTCTTTGCATGCATGATACATGCGTAACATTTCCTCTCGTTTTTGTGCTTCTTCAGGCGATTCCTCCATCATTGATGCCTGTAATACGGATTAAATTATTTACTTCTAAACTAAACAACAAAATTTTATTGTAGAATGAATTTTGGAAAAAGGTAGGACGATATAAATAAGGAAAAAGAAAACGAAACTTATAGTTGAAAGATCGATGAAGTTTTTCAAAATATTTTTATCAAATTTTGTAAAGTGAGAAAAAGGAGAAATGATTTCTTTTAGGACATTATTATTTCATTGGAAGGGGAAAGTAATGCTGAATTAAAAATTTATTCATAGACACGTAAAAGCATATTGTATATATAAATAAATCTTTACCTGATCACCACTTGCATACAAATGTGCCAACAACTCTCCATTAATGAAGTCCTTTGCATTATTGATAATCAAATGCATAATTGTCTTTGGAACCAAATCGCGAGTTGTTTTCGTAACAATTTTCATGTATGAATCCACTAGATTCCTAATAGTCTCTACTTGTCGTTCAAGCTGAGGATCCATTGATGACTGAGCTTCCGATCCACCCTATAAATTTGGGAGTAATAAATTTCATTCACTGACTATTAGAGTGGCAAAAAGTCCAAGTCACTTTTAACACGTTTACAGTTCGATACGAAAACGTATTCCTTTCTCGTACATTCAAGAAAGCGATACACATCTCGCGCGTTTAACACTCTTATTAAGTTAATTATAATGTTCAATTGAATTATTTCTTACATGCAAATAACACTAATAATTTAATTATCCATATAAAAATTCAAACGTAAATTTTCCCCCTATATCAACGGTATAACTTCTGATTTTGGACTCTCCTGACTCATATGTGGGTTAGTAGACCGTGAACATGTCAAGATATGTTATATACAACCAACAAAATAAAAACAAAGAAATCTAATTGTGAGAATTAATAGTGTTAGTTATGTGCAAATGATATTGCTAACAGGAAGAAAATGAAGTAGTTTCACAAATAATGTATACATATTTTCATAGCACACTGTATTCATTATCAAAGCAAAGCTAGGTGAAGGTGTCATATTTGTGTAGTGTTGTGTTTTGTAAAGCTTTAAAATATCTACAATTTTACCAACCTCATATCCTTCCTTTAGTTGATTAGAAGCAAAAAAAAAAAAAAAATTTAATCATAATTGTAAATGCAATATATGATCTAACTAATTTCTAAAGAATATAACAGGTATATAAATTATGCAATTCATACTTGTATTAGAAAGAAAATTAGTAAATTAGATGCTCTCGTAAAAATGCAAAAATTCTATGTTTTAAAGGCAACCACTGTATTTAATATATCACAGTTATGCATTGCAATGCTAAAATAGAACTTCAAACACAGAACCTTAATAATTAGAGTTCAAAATATTATATTATAAATAGCTTCACAATATGGCATTTAATATAAACGTTAAGAATAATTCACTACAATAGTATATTCGAAAAATAATTGTATCAAATAGCCACACGGTGAGAAATAATTGTACCATACACCCACACAGTGAAAAATGTAATTTTAAACAAAATATTTTAATCACATTTCCCGTACTAACTCACCCGCTGCTTAACCTAAAATAAATCAAAATATCTTATCTAGTAAATGTAACAAAAAGTGTGTCTATATAATAATAAATAATGAATAATTTTTATCCTAATGGGATAAAAGGGAGATGAATGATAAAAGCAATTAATTTATAAATAAAAATTCCACAATGAACTAATATATTTTGGTTGAGTTTGTGTCAACATTCAATATATAGTAACATGTCCCAAAACACAGTACTCAATTGAATACATATATATAAGAAACATACCTCTCCTTCACCATTTGTTTGCTCCGTTGACTTTTCGGGATATACACCAGCCCTGAGGAAAGAAGCTTTCCATGAATCCACATCATCCTGTGTTTCACAACTCAGTTCAAGCTGTTTATAATCCTTATAAACATTTCTTCCTTCCGGATTGAATAAAGCAAATAAATGACGTCGAGACATGAATCCTTGTTCCAAATCGCGTAATTTCAATCCATCTAAAGGCAGCATGTACTTCTTCTCACGTTCCTAAACAAAGAAATAATAAAATAATTAGAAATAAAAGAATAATCTGTGTTACATGACAAACATATTGTTAGCTAAGTTATAATTAAAAAATATTTACTTCTTCATCTTTGTACCAAGAAATGCTCTCTGATGTTAGGACAAACCAATAATCTCTTGAACCACCCTTCATTATACCGAGATTGTGGATGCACATGTACCCTTTGCGTATTACTTGATTGCCTAAAGTATGACGACCAGACTTAACAGCATTTTCGGAAGATTGTTGTGCACTGTAACATAAGGTATAATGTATAATGAAATGTCAAATAGAAAAAAATATTTGAATATCCATGTACAAAATTTATTATAATAACTTGCCACAAAAATTTGTTAGTTCATTTTGTCAAAAAAACTAGCAGGGTAAAAACCTAGTAATAATTTTTGTATTAACTTACACAAACGTTCACACAAGTTCGAATTTAACTTTATGCCACAAAAAATTATAAGTGATTCAAACAATTAAATTTCTCCAAATATGTGCTTTTCTAATATGAAAATATTGAAAATGAGATATGATCAAAGAATAATGTAGACAGGATAATGTAGACATGGGCTGCATATCTTTGATTTATAATTTTGATTAGCAGCTTCAAAGTTATAAATGAAAAATATATTCTTTCATTTACAACTTATTATTGATAAAACTTTGATTGATTTTCAAAAGAAAAAAAACATAATTGTACCTTTTCAATTGCTTCAAGTTTTTATATAAAATTATAACATACAGCCACAACAACTTTCATGCACATACTCTTTCATACAGCTTTAAACATCATAGTTGTATGTTTTTGAATATGCATTCAAACATCATTTGTAACATGTAAGTACACACAACATTATTACTACTTAATCAACACTGCAGTGTTTTTGCAGATCATAATGCATGAGGAATTGCAGAAGCAGATATTACATTTATTGTGAAATTATATGAAAATTAGTGAAACTAAAATCGATGCTGCTGTATGAAATATACGATTTGGAGTACTCATGAATGACTGTGATAATGGATGGACTATTTGATTATAACTTTGTATCATGCAACTATGTACAAAATTAAAATCAAACTTTTTAAATTTTTGGTAAATTATGGCTATATTTTACAATATGCAAAAACAGATAAAAAAATACAGTTAAAAATAACTCAATGATAATTTTTATATAATGGCATACAATGTTCAATGAAACTTATTTTTTCATATTCTAATTTTTATTATATAAATTGTTTAAAATTATACTTTAAGCATCATTCTTATGACCTAAGAAGTGTATACACATACATGTTAGTATAAACACTACTACTTTTTCGTAATATTATATAACGAACTATTAATGAAATATTGGATAACAAGAAATCATACATTTTTATTTCATTAAAGAAAAAAAGATTTTAAAGTACACTAGAAAAATATAGTTTTCAATTTTTTGCTGCATGGAAAATGAATTCAGTGTTGCTTATTACAGATCTG